AAGTGCCTGTATAATGGTTATGTACTGTCACCATTCACAGCTGTGTGTTCTTTTATGTAGAGTGTGTATCATAAACTGTCTGGCTTAATGAAATTCCAGAAATAATAAAATATCAGATAAAAAGGTAGGATGCAATTAATCTAGAGCAAATTTCTAGACATTTGTGGATAGATTATCTGCTGTACAGATAACGCTTAATATTCAAAGGGTAAGAGGGAGAGAGAAAATCTTGAAAGAAAAGGCAGGGGAAACTTGTCAAATATGGAAAAAAGAACAACAACAACAACAACAACAACAACAAAAAGGACGGATGAAATCAAACTGAACTAAATTCTGAATAGGAATTTCCTGAAACAGCGAAGTCTTAAGAGCCACGGGTAAGCTGAACTGATTCTTCCATTGTTGTCAAGGCTCTTCTACCAACCGGTTGGCAGTCCTGGGTCATAAACTGTTTCACAGTAGCCTGGACTTTTTTTAACTTAAAAAAAAATTATTGAGAATTTCATACATGTATATAAGGTGTTTTGATCAAATCCATGCCCACTCTCTCCTTTCCAACTCCTCCCATATCTCCCCATCACTTTTTTTCTGATAACTTCATGTACTCTTTCTTTTTCTTTTTTCAACGAGACTTTTTGCTACTCTTAACATTCCCCCCTCTGAAGAGGTACCCCTAAAATCTTTTAGGGATTAGATAAGAGGTCCCAAATACCTTTGACATTTTTGGCCTTTGGAACAGAGTATGTTGCTAAGAGGCCCAAGGACATTTTGACTTTTAGCCAAGAAACTGGCTACTTTTCTTTGGGGACTTTTACCCTAACTTCCTAGCCAATTCCTACCTCCTATTCTTATCACACCATCCTCTGAAGAGGTTACCCAAATTGCCGATAGGGAATTGGGATACAGACCACTCTGGCTTCTTCCATGCTGAATGGGGACGCAGGGTGAGACAATTGGGGTACCCCTTCAATGGGTCTATCTAAAAGACTCCCAAATTGCATAACTCTTATCTGTAGGGAGAAAAGAAAGTCCTTGACTGGTGGATAGGAGATGTGAAGGAGAAGTAAAGGCAAGAGTAGTTAGCATTACAAGCTCTAGACAGGGTACCAGAAAAAAGAACAGGGCAAATTTCAAATGTTCATATCAGAATCCACTGGAGTTTTTTGATGAGAGTTTCCAAAAGCATCCCTCTATTGGGTTCCTCCTCATTTTTCTTTTGTCTGCCAAGGCTGGACTCGAGATGGATTCAGGATTTGTTTTCGGGCACTTTGATAGCTCTCAAAGGTTCCCTCTCAAAAGCTTCTAGATAGGGAGCCTGGACTTTTTTTTTAAGTAGGGAAGTACTGGCTAGAAAAATCCAATAAGAAAAGTAAGATTTTAATAGTTGAGCCTCTTTTTCAAAGGAGTTATACTGAGCTTGATTTTTTTTTCACTTGAACAAAAGTGAACATACAGATTCAAAAGTTATTGGTTATGATCCTATTTACCATCCTTTCATGGAAGAAAGGCTCTAAACAGATTAAAACTACTTGCACCCAAGAGTAGGCAAGGGTGTCTTTAACCTACGTGTGCCTAAATATCACAGCAGGGATCCCGGCCTGCTAGTGTTTTCAACTGGAGCTGCCTGGAGGATTCTCAAGACATTCTTTTACTTGCCCTTAGATTCAAGTGATTTTCCCTTGTTCTTGCATTTGGAGTTAGCATCTGTGGAACACTGTCCATGACAGTCTTATGCTGTGGCCCCTGGAGGGTGGGGGGACAGGCTATAAAGTCTCCTCAGCAAGGTCTAGCAGTGCCTCAGAGCAGAGGTTCTGGTCCTTTGGTCTTCATATATGCCCACCCTCCCTGTGGTCCTCTTTCCTAATGGCTACTCTGACCTTCTCACCCCAAGGAACTTCTACTTATCTATCAAGTAGATGCAGAAACGGGCTAAAGGCCAATGCCTCTAGACACGCAGTGTCCAGGTTAGAAATGCCAGTGTCTCATTCAGGGTCCCCTTTGGCTGGTTCTTTCCCATACCAGGGATGATGTCTCCTTAGATTGCAGAGAACCCAGGATAGCTTCCTCATGGGAACAGGAGGTTGCATCTGTTGTGACTGTCATCACAGTTGGGGCCCATACACTACAGCCTTCATTAACCCTCTTGTCAGCCTCCTTGCTTCTTTCAGACTCAGCATCATTCAGGGGCTGTGGAGCATAAGCCTGAGAAACACTGGAGAAAAGAGCTCAACAGAAGGATGCCAGGGACTACTAAGTACTAGTGCTATGGTGTCCCATTCAGGAGAAAGAGGTCTCTCCCTTAGGACTAGGGCAGGGGTCACTGTCCTTACACGTGAGTAGAGGGATGAATGCTCTAACGCCCTAGCCCCTCTAATTCAGGACCAACACAACATCACAGAAGACACAGCAGGTGTGGCCATAATGCCTTCTAGGTCCCAGACTTAATGTCCAGTGAACATAGTCCTTTGACCTTTGGTCATACCAGAGTAGCATTTCTTTTAAACAAGAGGAAAGGCAGGTAAATGTGCCCCAAGCAATATACACAAGTATTCACAGAGATGGTAGAGAATCAATCTGTCTCTCTCTCTCTCACACACACACAGGAAGCAGTTAAGGCCAGATTTGAGACATAAAGACCTGAGATTCCACTGTGAGAGGAAGAAGCCAGAGGGAGGCAGAGAGAGTCGTCAGCTCAGGAAGGTAAGATCAAGAGACATGGGACTCTTCCTGTCCCTTTTAAGGCAGGTGATCACAGCTGGGGCAAAGCTGGGTGAGGGAAGCAAGCAACTGGGGGCCTGGGGTTAGCAGCCCTGGTACTGATGACTGACCTCCCAAACTGTAGGTCCCTAGGAGATGAGATGCACTGATGGAGAGGAGGTATCTGCCCCCTACCCCATGGTGACACCACTCTCTCTGAAGGCCTGCCTGTCCTTAGGAACAATTGAGTGGTGGAGTCAGGCTGGTCTGAGACAGGCTGGCTGAAAATTCCAGACAGAGTCAGAAATGGCAAAAGGGAAAGATGATTTTCCTTTAGAAACAGAAGTCTGATTCTTGCCCTCTCTCTTGCAGTTTGTAGGGTCCTTATGTTCCTCAAAGGACAAGAACAATGTTACACTGTATGTTATGGTGGGTTCCCTTAACCTATGCTGTCTAGACTTTGTGTGCTTTCAAAAAACAAAATAAAATAAAAATAAAAACAACCACTCGCCACCTAGGCACCACTCTACCATCTTAAACAGATTTCTGGCAGGAGAAGAATGCTTCATTCAGGAGCCGCCCTGGCTGGGCGGGAGGGAAGTGGGCAGCCCTGCAGGTCAAGAATCCCAGCAGGAGCTGAGCTAGCCTCACCGATGCTCATGGCCTGAACTGCAGGCAGTTTCTAGTAGACAAAGCCAGTGCAGGCAAAGGCCTCCTTTATCTTACAGCACCTCTTGCTTCCTTAAGTTTAGCACTGACGCTCTTTAGAAGAAACCAGGAAACCATCAATGAGAACTGCCTGCTGGCTGACAGGCCTTAGAATGATGGCCAGGTGGTCAGTTGGTGCAATTAGCCACAGGATGGAAATGTCATATTTTGAAAGATCCTTCAGTGGTTATTCATGAAGCAAATACTTGTTAAGATATGCTCAAGAAACACAACATTTTGTGGCAAAAGAGTAGACCTCATGTAAGAGGCAGACATATTCATGGAAGAGGTGATTTTAAGCACTGTATCATTCTCATTGTCATTCTCTCTCTCTCTCTCTCTCTCTCTCTCTCTCTCTCTCTCTGTGTGTGTGTGTGTGTGTGTGCGTGCCTACAGTACATATTGGGGCGGGCCACACATGCACATGTGGAGGCCAGAGGTTGACATAGCTGTTTCCACTATCCCTCTCCACTTCATCTTTTGATACACGGCCTTACATTGAACCCAGTGCTCACTGATTGGCCAGACTAGCTGGCCAGCTGGTCTGAGGATCTTCTTGTCTCCATCTCCAGTGCCAAGGTTACAAACGTGCTGCCACACCCAGCTTGCTATGTGGGTGCTGGGGATCCAAACTCAGGTTCTCATACTTGTGTGGCAGGCATTTTACTGAACCATCTCCCCTGCCCGTTTTATCTTTTGTTTTTCAGTGCTGGGCATCGAACCCAGGGCTTTGCATAGGCTAGGCAGGTGATCTGCCAGAGCTATATCTCCAGTCCTGCTAATTGCTTCATCAAATCTTATTCAATCATATTATTTTCCAAAGGTAACAAAACATCATGTTCACTTTCTTAGAAAGCACATCTGATTTTTGAATGAAGTGGGTTTCTTCTCCATCTGACTTGCATTACAAACACATGTAGGTGGTTTAGAAAAACATCCTCCAAAGGATAACACAGGGAAAGGGGATGAAATCAGGGTCCTGCAACCCACTGCTCTAGACTTATTTAAACATTCCAGTGCTTAATTCTTAAGAAGGTTTATGGGGTCTGATAAAAGTAATACAGTGCTGCTATGCAGTCTGTATGAGCCCTAATAACCCAGTCTGCAAAAGAGAAAAGGCAGAGCCTGCTGCTTCTCTTGTTAACACTGTGGCTCTAGGGCAGAGGGCTGGGCTAAGGTCACAGCAACAACCTCTAGTGGGTGAGACAGAAAGGACTCTTGTGGCTGTTCCTCTGGTTATACAACCTGGGCAGGCAGATCTCTGGTCTACTTGGAAATGCTAAACCTTATGGATGAGACTTTCCAATTCCAGGCCAAAAGATTCAGGCTGAGGAACAGGACCCTATAATGGCATAATCTCTTGCAAAAGGGAATGAGGCCTCGAAACAGTCACAGATCTGGTGCATCTTTTCCCAGCTGCACAACTCCTAACACAAAATTCAGGCACATGCAGGTGGCACTACCCTGCATATACACATATGTGCTCCTGTCTGTGGGCACAGGAATCCAGGCTTAAACACTGCCCCACCCTTCCTTCCTGTACAGCAAGGTCTCATGTGTCTTTGAAGTCACTGGTTGTTGGAGCAGAACCTTACCTGGGCCTCTTGTCTGCAGTGGCCACGCACATGTGCTGGGATGGTACTGCTGTCCACTTCCTTGCCTCCAGAACGAGAGCTTCGGCATCCACCAAACCAAATCCATACAGATGGCTAACTGAAAAAACAGGGCCTTCAGAGCCAGCTCTCCTGTCTCCCTGGGAAGAGAGCAAGGCTGCTCCCCGACTCTGCAGGTCCCAGAAGCACACAGCAGCTATGTCACCTCAAGATCCCAGAACCCAGAGTGCAGACGGGTCCCTTTGGGAGCTACTCAGGGGTCCACCTACACCCTCTGAACTAAACTCCTTTCACTTACGAGGGTTGGCCAGACATGTGTCACACTTTGGGGCAGTAGGAGAAGATAGTCCAGGACTTCCTTTGAGTCGACAAGATCAGGTTTCTTTATATTAGAAGGACCTGTCAGTATGTGTGCCCCTGAAACTTAGACTAGACAAGAGAAACACAATCGAAAACCTCAGAGCCCAAGGTGTCGTTCATTGGTAAGCACATGCCTAGCCTGTGCGAGACCCTGGATTTGATTCCCAGTGCATGTGCACATGCTAACACCCCAACCCAAGAAAATCAGACAAATGACTATGATGTGTAATAAACACAACAAAAATATCATTTTCTTTCTCTACTGAGTCCCACAGTGCTCAAGGCAAGCAGAAGAGCATAGCACACAGGCAAGAACGCTTGTAGGACCTGCTTGATCCAGTATTTAACTTGACCAAGGGAGAAGAGTTTCAGTTTAATTTCAGAGGCAAGGTCGAGACCTGATACAATCTATTTTCCTATTTAATTAGGTCAAAATTGAAATGCAGGGGAGCTCTTGTTACAGCACACTGCCACCATCTGCAAAGATGTAGGAGACCCAGTCAATGGCCTCCTTATTCAAAGGAATGTCCTGTCATTCACAGCAACAATGCTTGACCTCCATTTACAGATAGCAATATCAGGCTGAGAGTCAAAATAGTTGAAACTGAGCTTCCAGAGAAGGGAAAAATTCTCCCTAACATACTGTGGCCGACAGAAGTATTTTCAAGTTTCTCATAATTTCCTGATGCAGAGACTCTAAATACCTGGGCTATCAGAGTCCTGACCATGGAGTGATGTTTTGTAGTGTGCTGGGCTGGGGGCAGAGGCTCTGTGTGCCATTAATTACTTTTATAAATAGCAACTGGCCAGCAGCAAATTTAGAGTTAGAAAGTAACGTGTGTATGTGTGTATGTCTGTGCTGTGCATGTTTGTATGTCTCCGTGTGTATATGTGTGTACACGTGTCTGTGTATGTGTTTCTGTGTATATATGTGTATGTGTACATCTGTGTGTGTGTGTGTGTGTATGTATGTATGTTACAGAAGATCCAATTCAGGGCCTTGTACACGCTTGGCAAACACTCTACTACCAATCTACATCCCCAGCCCTTAGGTTTTTGTTTTTTGTTTTTGATACATGAACTCACTATCTTCAAACTCATCTTCCCCAATTCTGAGATGATAGGCCATGCACCTGGCTCATGTGTGTGTGTGTGTGTGTGTGTGTGTGTGTGTGTGTGTGTGTACAAACTACATGTTCAAATCTACCATTAACTAGATAATAAAGTTCTTTTTTAATATGGCCTTGTTGTGTAGCCCAGGCTGGCTGGGAACTCATGATCTGCCTGCTAGGATCACAGATACATTCCACCATTCCTAGATGTAAAGTTGTTTAGTAAATTATACTTCTTTATGAAAAAGCAAAAATAAAAAACAAGAAGTGAACTATTAAATAAACCCTGGTTCAAGTGGTCTCTGCTTATGGCAAAAGTCAAGGCATTTAGGGACCCGGACTCCATCCAGGGACTCCAGGGCTATCCCTTCGTACAAGGTGTGCTCCAGGAAACTTTAAGCTTAAGCAGTACAAATGCATTTTTTTAAATTTATTTTTTAAATTTTTTTTTAGAAGAAGCATATCACTACAGCTTTGATATACTCAATAACAGTTTCCAGAGCAAAGATACATCTCTTTCAAAAGTGGCCATAAAATTTTTAGGTTCACTGTTGAACTAATAGAGTTATACAATATTGAACTCAGTATAAACCCTGTAAGACATAAAACTGAATGAGTTTTTAACCTTTAAAAAATATCTGTTTCATTTTAAAATATACTGTTTCATACAGAAAGACTCATTGTTTTTGCTACTAACACTGAGATGTTGGCGCATGCATCTCTAATCTGTATGTATCTGATTATTACTAGTCATAATCGGTTGCACTTGGATCCTTGGCACCCGTGTATGGATATAAAGTCATTGGGTAGATTTCAATGGTAATGTTTATTACCTCTACTAATTAACATGACGTAAATTTTTATGCTTCCTCCTCAAATATAATACATTTTTAAAAATCTGTTGATTTATTTTGTGTGTGTATATCACACAGAATATCCCAAAGCATCTTGTTCAACTATACACCCATTTCCCAGATGGCACCCTCCCATAGCCTCCCTCCCCCCACTAGAACCCTTATACTCTGATATCCCTGCTACTGTCTGCTGTGGTGTTGGCACCCCCAGCCATTCCCCACTACTTGTCCATCCGGTGAATCTAGTCAGCCTATCTAGAGGTCTTTGTTTTAGGAAGGTCAGCTCTTCCTCATCTAGCAGCAATTGGTTTGCAAATGCATTTTTAAAAAAATATCTTATTATTTTTATTTTATGTGTATGAGTGTATTGCCTTCGTGTCATGTAGTGCTGCAGAGGTCAGAAGAGGGCTTCGGATTCCCCTGAAACTGGAGTTAAGGATGGTTCGTAGCTGCCACGTGGGTGCTGAGAATCGAACCCAGGTCCTCTGCAAGAGCAGTCAGTGCTCTTAACCGCTGAGTCATCTCTCCAGCCCCGCCCCCTTTTAAAAAATATTTTATTATTTTTATTTTATGGCAAATGCATTTTTAATTCTTTTAAAAAATATTTTATTATTTTTATTTTATGTATATATGTATATTGACTGCATGTAGGTAAGTGCACCCATGTCGTTCAATGCCCGTGGAGGACAGAAGAGGCTGTCGGATCCCCTGGAACTGGAGTTACAGACAGTTGTTAGCTGCCATGTGGGTGCTGGGGTTCAAACCCAGGTCTTCTGCAAGAACAGTCAGTGTTCTTAACTGCTGAGCCACCTCTCCAGCCCTGCATTTTAAAAATATTTTTATTTATTTTTTATTTTATGTGTATGCATGTATTGCCTGCATGTAGGAAAGTGCACCCATGTCCTGCAATGCTGGCAGAAGACAGAAGAGGCTGTTGGATTCCCTGGAACTGAGGTTACAGACAGTTGTTAGCTGCCATGTAGGTGCTGGGATTCAAACCCAGGTCTTCTGCAAGAACAGTGTTCTTAACTGCTGAGCCATCTCTCCAGCCCCGCAATTTTTAATTCTTGTGACACACAGTGATAAAAATGAATGTTATTTCGGGCTTTCTCAAGGGTCACCAAAGGGTTTCATCCAGCCCACCAGGAGCCCCCGCACCTTTATGCCCAGCGCCGTTGACTTTCCAGTCGCTTGCCTTCAGGTGGGCTGGCCGCGATGTCTTCACTAGCAGGTGCTGCACATCCCTCCAGGTTAACTGGTTGCTGCAATGACACAGCACAGACCACTAAAGTCAATGGCACTGGGCAGGTAGGCCATTCTGAGGAAGTACTGGGAGCCAGCCCAAAGTTGAACCTGCATATCTCCACAAGGGTTCATTTCACAAGAAATGGTTTCCAGAAATTGAACCCTAAGCAAGGAGCATTCAAAAGATCTGAAACCCACAGGCACAAGACACCTAGCTTGGCTGCCAAGCTTCACATGGGTTTTACAGGGCACTTTGGAAGCAGGGAGAAGAAAACTTTTAATGTCACTGTAAATGCTTATCAAGTATTTGGAGCACTCTTCATCATCACACACAAAGGTATAATAGATTGGATTTTCTTCTATGGAGACCCACAGACTAAAACTTGTAAGAATTCTAAACTTACACTCCCTTTTGGTGCACAATAGAACATGCCATCAAAGAACAGGTGGCCACCAATGTCAGCCAAGGACCATATTTCTTGTAGCCAAAGATCCATTTGCTCACCTTTTAAAAATTCTTTTGTAAAGAAATACTTTCTTATTTATATTTTGTGTGTATGAGTGCACTGCCTGCATGTATGTAAGTACATCCGTGTCCTACAATGCCCACAAAGGTCAGAAAAGGGCACTGGATCCCCTGGAACTGGAATTATAGATGGTTGTTAGCCAATACGTGGGTTCTGGGAACTGAACCCAGGTCCTCTGCAAGAGCAGCCAGTGCTGTTAATGGCTGAGCCATCTCTTCAGCCCCTTGCCTACCTTTTAAGCACCTCTGAAATCAGGCTTACTCTTATAACCCCTCTGTCCATAGCAATCAGGACCACACTACATCATCTGGGGTTGTTGAACATGATCCTGGATAGTCTAATTGTAATTTTTTAATCTAAATAACTCTTAGTTTAAAAGAACTCTACAATAATTACAAAACTAAGAAACAGAAACAGACTGCATTTATAGCACTTGTGGTTTTTCAGGTACATAAAGGGTGCATTTTATATTCTATGGCAACTTGAATTTGGCAAGAATAGTGTTTCCCCACTCCTGTCTTCCATACAGCATTAACTGTTATGGAATCTGGATCTTTGAATACACAAGCCTTCTGCAAGGCTGCTTTAAATACAGTTCATGCAAAGCTACATCTGACTCACCATTACGTTAGGAATTTATTTCTGTGTGTGAAACTAACAGCTGAGTGAAAAGCTTGAAATACAGGTTCATGGTTCCACCCACAGTTCAACCAAAAAATACTTAAACATATCTTACTAAATGGATACATATCCAAATGATGTTTCCATTGATCAGAACATTAGCTGAGAACAAATGAGCATCTACTGCGTCCCTTTAAAAACATTAAATCTTGGGGCTGGAGAGGTGAGTTAGTGGTTAAGAGCATTGACTGCTCTTGCAGAAGACCCAGGTTCGATTCCCATCACCCACATGGCAGCTGCGAACCATCCTTAACTCCAGTTCCAGGGGAATCCGACGCCCTCTTCTGACCTCTGCAGTACTGCACCACACGGGTGCACTCACATACATGCAGGCAATACACTCACACACATAAAATAAATAAACTATTTTAAAAAATTAAATCTGCCAGGCGTGGTGGTGCACGCCTGTAGTCCCAGCAGTTGGGAGGCAGAGGCAGGTGGATCTCTGTGAGTTCAAAGC